GAACGGATGGAAACAGTGCTGTGACCTGCACGACAAGTGAAGACAGGCCATCTAAGTATCTAAGTAAGTATCTATTCAGTCGCTCCTTCAATTATTTATTGACTCATTCACTCATCCATCTATTTACCCGTTTACTATGCCACTTGAGAAGAGCTACTTTTTTCATTTCTTGAAAACTTAAGGATAAGAACTTACATGACAAATATGAGGCAAAAATCGGCGTTGTACTAAGCAATGTTTCCAAAATTTTTGGCATAAATGCTGCGAATCCATTGATAATGATAGATTCGAAAATACCAATCACAATGCACACGACGAACGTTGGATTTCGACAAATTTTCTAAAGAAATTTTTGTTTGTTCTAAAACCAATAAAAAATTTAATAAGTTACCTACCAACACAACTACTGGCAGTTTTTTCGCATCTTTTGGAGCTTTTTCGTTGACGTCAGCAGCGTTTACAGCATGAACCTGGAGGAATTTAAGTAGTTTTCAGTAAAAGGTATAATTTTTGAAATACTGTATTTACTTGATTGACGTCCTTAGCTCTGTGATGTCTCGCCTCTGGTAATTCTCGAGCGAAGGCCAAGATAGGGAAGGCGATTATAAGAGCGGATATAGATGATAGAAGAAATCCTATCCACCAAGCACCAATCCATCTTGGATCATTCCGAGCAACTGGGGGGCTAAATAACAGCAGTTTTTGTGAAATTGAATGTTTTCTACTAAGCCTAAACTTACTGATCCACTCTATCAAAGTCATCATAAATATTTAGCAGAGATCCGCCGACGAATACTCCAATAACAGGACCAAAAGAAGTTAGAACAGCGTGAACAGCTGAAATCCACTATTCTAGGGTAGGATAGTAGGGTGTAGGTAATGGTAGCTTACCCAGATAGACAGGCGAGGCCTTCTGCGAAACATTTTCATCTATATATGTGGTTCCAATAGAAAATAGAGGTGTTGATCCGACTCCATGTAGGGTTTGACCAAGGACGAAAAGCAGAAAGTATGGATTCAGATAGGAAGAAATTGGCTGTTTCTCACAGGATTCTACTTCGAGATCCCTAAATGCAA